AATAATAATAATAATAATAATAATAATAATAAAATAACTGCCAGAAAAAAAAAAGATGAAAGAACTAAAAAACAAAGTCGAGCTTCAAGTTACAATACTGAGAGATGCTATGGGCAAAATCTTGAATGATCCCAGAAGCACTGAAAGAAGATAAAAGAAATAAAACAATTGGTTGACCCTGAAAAATGTGAGAATTTACCATAAGAATGAGAGCCAATGGTAATGAAGGAAGAAATTCAAACTGCACTGAAGGCAATGGCAAATAATAAGGCCCCGGGAATTGCTGTGATACTAGTTGACATGTTTCCACTAACAGATGCAGCCCTGGGCATGCTCACTGGTTTACGTCAGGAAATTTGGAGGATAGCTGCTTGGCTGACTGATTGAAAGAGATCCATATTTGTTCCCACTCTCAAGAAAGATGACTTTAAATTACTCTCTTCTTTAAGAATCTATGAGTTTGAATTGGAACCAGCTCTAGAATTGAAAAACTAAGGGCAAGTAGCTCATGGTGACTTAGTGGTAAGGAATTGCACTGCCAACCCAAAGAAAGACAGTTGAATCCACTAGGTGCTGTGAGAAAGAAAGATTGGCAATCTTTTCCCATGTGACTGACTGCCTCTGAAAAGCCACTGGCCAGCTATGAGTCTATCTGACTTGACAGTACTTAACAAGAAGGGCAGGGAGATAGGGGGTGAGTGAGTCAAAAAGTTTGGAAACATAATTGAAATTTATCTAAGATGATAATTGATTTCTCTTTTTAAAAAGTTAAGGAAAAGACCCATTTCAAAAGTGAAAGAGGAATTAAGATCTGCAGCCCTAAGCTGATTCCTGTGAGTTGGAAATCAGACATATCACTCTTTACAAAGTTTTATCAATTCTAAAACAACTCACCTATCCACAAGCACTCTCCACGTCTCTGCTGAGTTCAGTAATTCATGGCAATGGTTCCACTGAACTCACAGACAATATTCATTGTTGGAGACTACCACGGAGGGGGACTAGTGTGCTGAGATTTAGACATGTGCCAAGATCATGCAAGATCATGTGAAGATGGCAGACCACTTACACATGATAAGCAGAAACTCAGCAAACTGAGGAACTGATAATGTGACCAATTAATTCTCTCTACACACAATGTTCCTGGAAGTGGTGGAGGACAAACAAGTCCTAGGAACTCTGGTGGTGCTCCCTGATAGAGTGGACTGACAAACCAGTCTGCAGAACTACAGTGCTAATTTAAGAACTAAAAAGAAAGGTTGTCTTGCTCTTTGAGAAGGCTGATAAATATGAAGAGTTAAAAGCAATCTGGGCTCTTCTCTTTCTTGAGGGGTTGAGTCCCCTGACGTTGTTGTTGTTGTTCTTCTTCTTTTCCTCCTCCTCCTTCTTCATTTTAATGAAAATTTACAGAGATTTTGGATTTCCATTCATTCATTGTTGCACTTTCCCCCCTGCCCATCCCTTCCCTCCAGTTCATTCTTCTCTTTGAAAAGTAAAAAATTCTTTGTTATACAATCCCTCCCCACAAATCCACTCCACTATGCAACATTCATTCTGGACTCCTGTCATGACAGTAATACTTAATCATATATCCCTTTTAAACAGTTCTCTCTCTCATCTCTTTCAATGCAGTATACATAATTTATCTCATCTTTCTCAGTCTCCCCTCAACCCCCAGCCCTGTCAGGCCCGTTCTACAACAGTGGCACTATGCAGTATTTGTCCTTTTGTAACTGAGATATTTCATTCAGCATAATGTCCTCCAGGGTCATCCATTTTTAATATTTCATTAGTTCCTTGTTTTTCATTGCAGCATAGTATTCCATTGTGTGAATATACCACAATTTCTCTGTTCATTTGTTTGTTGACGGGCACTTGGGTTGTTTCCAACTCTTTGCTATTGTGGATGAAGCCACAATACACATGGGTGTGCATATATCTGTTTGGGGGGTGGTTATGGTTTCTTTGGGGTTTATTCCAAGTAGTGGAATTGCTGGGTCAAATGGTATTTCTATTTGCAACTTTTTGAGAAACCATCATACTGCCTTTCATAGTGGCTGCACCATTTTACACTCCCACCAATAGTGAATAAGGGTTCCAGTTTCTCCACAATCTTGCCAGCATTTGTTGTTTGCTGTTCTGTTAAATTTTGCTATTCTTATTGGGGTGAGATGATATTTCATAGTTGTTTTGATTTGCATCTCTCTTAGAGCTAGGGATTTTGAACATTTCTTCATGCATTTGTTGGCCATCTGAATGTTTTCCTTGGTGAAGTGTCTGCTCATATCCTGTGCACATTTTTCAATTGGGTTATTTACCTTTATCTTGTCGTGGTGCTTGAGTATTTTATAAATTCTAGATGTAAGTCCCTTATCTTACATGTCATTACCAAATACTTTTTAACACTCTGTGTCTTCCCTTTTTAACCCTGTTGGAGAAGTTTTGGATGTACATAGGGATTTGATTCTTAGAAGGTCCCATTCATCTATTTTATCCTCTCCTGGTTGTAGATTTTTCAGGATGCTTGAAAGACTGTTGATGTTGTACCCCGAAACCCTTCTTAAAGATTAAATGTGTCTTTTCTTTCATTCACTGTTTTAATCTCTTTTCACAGGACTCTGGCACTGTCTCGCAATTCATGATTGTGATGTCTGAGCCCATGGGTCACAAGTACTGATGTGACAAAGTTCTATTGAAGGGACAAGGACAACAGACATGGAGATGATCCATCTAAGGGGTGACCATGTCAAAGCCTACATTCTCTTGAGCAATAACTGGTCACAGATCCCATCCCCTTTCCAATCACCTTCGCCTGTCCCTCCCTGCTTGCCACAGACTCAATACAGTAGAGACAAGGATTCCAGAGCATTCTCAGGTTTTTGTTTATTTCCTCTCTTCAATTTTCAGAATTTGCTTCTCTTTTAATCAAACTATGAACTATCAAGGCAAAATGTGAATACCAAATCCATCCTCAGATTATCATTGTCAATAGAGAAGTCAATTAGTCAATTGAAACTTAGAAGAACAGGAAATGACAGCAGGGATGGAGGCATTGCAGTCTTGCCTCTGCTGGACCAGGAACATCAATCAGGGAAAACACAGATCAGGGTGGGAAGAGGATCTGGTGGACAGGGTTAGTCCTCCTACATCCTCACTTTATGGGAATGTAATCACATTCGGATACCAGTTGCAAAAAACAGTAGTCCAGGCTTCTTGAGTCAAAAAGCACAGTGTGAACAAATTTTGTATCATTCAGTCCCATACAAGACAGCAGTCTCACACTACAGAATAAAAGAATCATGAATGAATTCAGGTCAGTTGCCATAAATGTTGAATGTCTGAACAGTAGTCGATATCCACAACCCTCCTGTGTCCCCTTTCCCCCCAGGGTCAGGCACCCTCAGGTTCTCACCTTTAGAAGTCATGAGAGAAGCACTGGACTCTAGGGTCCTCTCTTTGCCTGAGGAAAAACAAAACCAGAATCTCATCAGAACTCATAGGAAATGAGACTAGAAATATGATGATTATGACTTGCAGGGGGCTCCAACATGGGTTCCTGTCTATACTATTTCAAAGTATGGGATCAGCCTACCTCCCTACATACTTAAAGCTCGAGCATAGCTTTTAGTCTTTCCTCTCATGAGAAGCAAGTATTCTGTCAGACTAGAGAGGAGGAAGGACCAGGAAGCTCTAGAAGACGTGGGTAGACCTGCACTCCAGAGAAGGTTCCAGAATTGTGGCTACATACAAAGGAAAGATAGAGAAATGCAAAGACAAATGTGCAGGCCCTGGACCAAACATCTTCCTGGAAGTCTGTCCTCAGCAGGAACTTTCCTATGTGATCTATGACTATTGGAAATCAGGTCTCAATGATCTGTCCTTCATTTTCACATGTATTTCACAGAATAATTGTTGCTACACAGAGCCCCAGACTGAGTAAGCTGGTGCATCTTGTAACAAGGCAGGAAACCTAAATGCCCCTAGGGGGCAAGAAAATTCAAACCCCATCCCCACATGTACCTGAACTTTTCTTCCTCACAACTCTAGTCATGATCACTCCAATAACCACAAAGACAACTCCAGGGACAGCCACACCAACAGTGATTTGGATGAAAGAGGTAGTGGGCTGGGAAGGAAATTCTGGAAAGAGAAGGGAAGTGAGAGAGAAGCCCTAACTCCCTGTGGTTCCCAGAAGGGCTCTTTATGTCCCTCCTTACCCCATTTTAGGGTGAGGGGCTCCAGTAGCCCCTCATGCTGCACATAGCATGTGTATCTCTGCTCCTCTCCAGAATGCACCACGATGGCTGCCCATTTTTGGAAGGTCCCGTCCCCTGCAGGCCTGGTCTCCACAAGCTCCATGTCCTGGGTCTGGTCCTCCCTGTCTCGTTGCCAGGTCAGGGTGATCTCTGCTGGGTAGAAGCCCAGGGCCCAGCACTTCAGAGTGACCTCATGTTCAAAGATGGGATGATGAGTCACGTAGGTCTTGGGAGATACTGAAAGATCAAAAAATCGATGAAGAATGGATAGCTCTCCCTTATCTGCCTTGGGACACTTGAGCAAAGCTCATGTGATCACCCTGAGAATGGACAGGGCACCTGAGGTGGTGGAAGGAGTGTAAAACCCAGACACTAGTCTGGATCAGAGATCTGAGATAATGCTCTATTCTTTGGGAAGTTCTAGAATCACAGTGAAGCAGCCTGTAGGAGATTCCAGGTATCCGAGGGGTAGAATTGAGATTTCTAGGGAATTCTCTCAGGGTGGTATAGCACTGGTCTGTGCGTTGCTGTACAGAGGTAACTCTTGTTACTGTGATGCTGAACACTGTGACAGTGATGTGCCAATCGTGGTAATGGGTACCCATCGTGGACAGTGTTGGCTGGAGCTTCCTGACTAAAACAAGACTGAAAGCAGGCGCGTCATCGGCTTCCGAAATGGCTTGCCTCCGGAAACACTATGTACGAACAGTGCTCAGGCCGTTCGTTCATAGGGTTGCTATGAGTTGTCTACGACTCGATGGCACGAAACAACAACAACAAAAACAGTTCTGTCTTGGATGGAGTCTGAGAATCTCAGAATAGATAGAATCAGATTTCCAAATTCATTTGGTGTAGAGCAGAGAACAAAACTTGAATGTCCATGGTGGTTCCCAAAGTTAATTACAGGATCAAAGGGAATTGTGTATCAGTCAGGAATCATCTGCTCTACTCTTCTCAGAGACAGTGGATCCTTTAACTGTTTCTGAAAGAAAGGAGAGTTCTTCTGGGCTTGGAGGATTTGGAAATTTTTTCTCATGTAGGATTGGGAAACAAGCGTCAATAGCAATTACAATGTAGGATGAGGAGTGAGTGGCAGCTGCTAACCAGACATCAGAGGGGTGACACCAAAATGATTGTCAATAAAATATTTAGAAATCTAGAATTTTATAATAAAAATATCCCTGTCATTAGATATAACAACAAATATTTTTCATAAGTCTAGTTTCTATCTACCTACAAGGCTAAATGTTGTGGCCTTGTGTGTAAGGAGTTGCGCTGCCAACCCAAAGGCAGGAGCCTGCAATCCACTAGCTTCTCTGCCAGAGAGAGAAGCAAACCCTTCATGTCAAATTTACAGCCTCTGAAAATTCATGGAGGGTCAACTATGAGTCAGGACATTCAACAACAATGAGGAGGAGAGATGCTCTTCTTGAGTTGCCATTATTATTCAAATACAAGGAAGTTTGGGATCACCTGGTTTCATCTGAACCCTTCCCGTAGCACCACATGTGCAGTGTTTTTACAGTCGCTCATTTCATAAAATGTTCTGGAATTTTAGCTAGAATATTATTTTAATTACTATTTGTGAACCTACATAATTTTCTTTTAAAAAATAATAATTAAAGAAAAAAGAATAGGTTTCAACTAAATTGCTAATTAAGCCTTGTAAATCCATGTAGTGGCACTGTGGGTTATGCGTTAGGTTGTTAAAAGGTCTGCAATTAGAATTCACCAGCAATTCCACTGGGAAAAACATGAAGCATGTAAATCCCTAAGATTTACAATATCCGAGGCCAACAGAAGGGTGTGAAATCCTTTTGAGGGCAGTGGGTTTAGTTTATTGATATAATCCAAGAAATACTATATTTAAGCAATTTATAATTATTACATTGTATTAACATTTATTATAAACATTATTAAGCATTCTGTATGATCTGGTACTGGAGGAGATGTGAGGAGGGGGACAACCATCCCTACTGACGGCACGTTCTGTAAATCTGGGCTAACGCCTCACTCTCCACATTCATCTGTAGGTGTAGGCTGGCGTCTAATCCCATTTCTTTCCTTTCCTGAGAAGTCAGTAAAATAGATAATAGTCCCAGCTCAATGTTCTGACTGACGCCCCCTGAGCCCCCTCTACCTGCAATCTGCAGTGTCTCCTTGCCCATCTCCAGGTATCTGAGCAGTGACTTCACGCAAATGCTCTCCACGTAAGCTTTGTAGCGCTCTGCCTCACTGGCCTCCTCCCACTTGCGCAGAGTCATCTGAGTCGCAGTGTCTGCCGCTGTCCAGGAGTGCAGGTCCTCATTCAGGGCAATGTAATCCACGCCATCAAAAGCGTACTGATTGTAACCGCGAAGGAGGCGGCCTTCGGAGTCCACGTCACAGCCATGCATCCTCTGGTGGGTGTGAGACACTGACCCCGCCCCCAGGGTCAGCCCTGCCCCCACTGTCAAGCCCCGCCCTCAGGGTCAGCCCAGCACCCTGTGGTCAGCCCCGCACCCCTGCTATCAGCCCTGTCAGTGCTGTCAACTCCAGTCGAGGTGGTGATTGGTTTATTTGGTTCTAAACCGTAAATCCAAAAGCAGAGGGACATCTAGATGCTGCTAGATCGGAAAGTCGCACCAGTGTTATAACTTCCGGGTAACATTCAATCCTGGAGATGGTGGGCAACCTGTCCCTGTCCGTGGGGACGAACAAGAAGTGACCCAGGACCCCGCCACTCACCAGCCTCGCTCTGGTTGTAGAAGGCACGTAAGTTCTTCAGGCTTACTTGGAAAGTCTGTGCATTATCCTTTGAGATCCGTGTTTGCCTGTCCCAATAGTCCGACCCCTCCTGCTTCATCCACGCTGTCCGTGGTTCCGTCCTTGGATTCGCCTTGTCGCTGTCGAACCACACGATCTGCGTGTCGTCCACATATCCAACGGAGATGAAACGGGGCTCCCCGCCGCCGGGCCGGGACAAGGAAGTGTGGAAATATCTCAGGGAGTGGGAACCTGGGGTCAAGGAGGGAAAGAAACCACCGATCTCACTCACCTTGGAGCTCCCAAGTCGGGGTCGACGGGGTTGAGATGGGGCAAAGGGGCTCGTGGAAGGCGAGCGAGAGGCGCAGGGCCAGAAAGGGGCAGGGAGGTAGTTCTGACACCCGTCCGTCCGTCTGGTCCGTCCGTCCGTATCATATCCCCCATCCCTGCACTTACCCGCCCAGGTCTGAGTCAGTCCCAGGGCCCATGATAGTAGCAGGAAGAAGATCAAGGACTCCATCACCTGGCCCTTCCAGATCTCAGAAGACTCTAGTCCCCAGCGGAGCGGAGATCCCCCCACTGTGCCTGGGCAAAGGGACCCAGGGCCTCAGTGAGGCCTATTCCAGCTCCTGGAGATCCGAGACCCAACAGCAGTGAAAATGAGGGTTAAGTCACGTGTGTCCAGGCAGGAGCAGCTAACACAAGTTGTGGAAAGGAAAAGTGAAAACGCTGAGTAAAAGGGAAATCCCCACTCCTAGGCCACCCCGCAACCCCCGTCCACCCCCCCCCCTCACTTCCCTCCGCCTACTTTACTGCACTGTCTCTCCTAGAGTCCTACTTAAGTCAGAGGTCTCAGTAACTTTAGAATCTCCATGATGTTTTGTGCCCTGGGGTGGGCTCACTAAGCAGAATAGAACAGTCTTAGTCTATTGATATTAACCATCTAAGAAATGGAAACTATTAGGGAACTCTCGTGGCCTAGTGGCAAGAAGCTGCACTGCAATCCCAGAGGTACGTGGTTCAAATTCACCAGATGCTCTAGCTGGAGAAAAAAGGGCAATCTCCTCCTGTACCAGTCAGATCCGATTTGATGGTACACACACACACACACACACACACACACACACACACACGGAAACTGTTGAAAACTCTTTACATAGCCTAAAAGAATAACCCATTCAATGTTTTTGTGAAAAATATTTTCCAAAATAAAACAACATAGTGAGAGAATGTCTTATTTTACATTTTTTAAAAATTATTTTATTAATTTTAATGAACATTTACAGAGATTTTGAATTTCCATTCATTCATTGTTGCATTTTTCTCCCTGCCTGCCCCTCCCCCCCAGTTCGCTCTTCTCTTTGAAAAGGAAAAGAAAAATTCCTTCATTGATATACAATTCCCCCAACCCCGAGTACACTCCACTATACTGCTTTCAAACAGTTCTCTCCCTCATCTGTTTCAATGCAGTATTCACAATTTATCCAATTTTTCTCAGTCTCACCCCAACCCTGATGTCAGTCCCATTCTACAACAGTGGTACTATGCAATATTTGTCCTTTTGTGACTGAGATATTTCACGCAGCATAATGTCCTTCAGGGTCATCCATTCTGAATAATATTGCATGAGTTCCTTGTTTTTCAACGCAGAATAGTATTCCATTGTGTGAATATACCAGAGCTTCTCTATCCATTCATTTGATGATGGGCACGTAGGTTGTTTCCAACTCTTTGCTATTGTGAACAAAGCCACGATAAACATGGGTGTGCATATATCCGCCTGGGTGGCAGTTATGCAAGTCTCTTTTATCTGTCTTTAAAAAGAATGTAGCTAGAATTAAGAATCCATAAATCAGTCCATCTACATTTGGCCAACTTATTTTGGACAAGGAGATGAAATCAGTTAAGTGGGGAAACAACAGCTTTTTTAACAAATGGTGCTGGCAAAATTGGAAAACTATCTGCAGAAAACTCAAGCAAGATCCACACCTCATTCTATACACAAAAAGCAACTAAAAGTGGATCATGGACCTAGGACTAAAACCAAGGACTATAAACTTCATTAAAGAAAAGCTTGGAAGAACGCTAGAAGTCCTAATCCACAACATAAACAGTCTTCCAAGCATCCTGGAAAATCTACAACCTGGAGAGGATAAAATAGATGAATGGGACCTTCTAAGAATCAAATCCCTATGCACACGCAAAAACTTCTCCAACAGGGTAAAAAGGAAAGCCAAAAAGTAATTTATAGATCCATCATGAAATACAATATGGTGAGTGACAGGATAATATTCACATGCATTACAAGGAAGTCCAGTGAATACCACAATCATTCAAATATATGCACCAACAACTAGAGCCAAAGAGGAGGAAATGGAAGATTTCTATCAACTTTTGCAATCAGAAATTGATCAAACAAACATGCCATCAAGATGCACTGATAATAATGGGTGACTGGAACGCAAAGTTGGGAACAGGGAAGAAGGATCAGTAGCTGGAAAACATGGACTCCATGAGAGAAATGAGGCTGGAGATAGAATGATAGAATTCTGCACATTCAATGATTTATTCATTGCAAATACCTTTTATAAGAAACACAAACATAGGCTATACACGTAGATTTCACCTGATGCATAGGAATCAAATCGATTACATTTGTGGGAAGACTCCCTGGAGAAGCTCAATATCAGCTGTGAAAACCAGGCCAGGTACTGATTATGGGACAGACCACCAACTACTCATATGCAAGTTCAAGCTGAAGTTGAGGAAGATTAAGTCAAGTTCATGGGAACCAAGATTTAACCTTAAGTCTGTCCCACTCAAATTTCAAAACCATCTCAGGAACAGGTTTGAGGCCTTAAGCACCAATGAGCGTAGACCAAATGAGCTCTGGGAGGATATAAAAAAATCATCCATGAAGAATGCAAAAGATCATTACAAAGGCTGAAGAAGAAGAAAAGACCAAGCTGGACGTCAGATGAGACTCTGCATGTTGCATTAGTGTGCTGAGAAGCCAAAGCTAAAGGAAGAAATTAAAGAGCTGAACAGAAAATTTGAAAAAGCAGCTCAGGATGACAAAGCAAGATACTGTAATGAAATATGCAGAGAGCTAGAGTCACAAAATCAAAAGGGCTGAACTTGCTCCGCGTTTCTTAAGCTGAAGGAGTTGAAAAACAAATTCAAGCCATGGGTGGCAATACTAAAGTATACTTTGGGTAGAATGTTAAATGATCCAAGAAGCATTAAAAGAAGATGGGAGGAGTACACAGAGCCACTGTATCAGAAGGAATTGTTTGACACAGAAGAATTTCATGAAATAACATATGAGCAAGAGCCTGTGGTGATGAAGGAGGAAGTTCAAGTTGCTCTGAAAGAATTGGCAAAAAACAAGGCTCCAGGAGTTGACAGCATGCCAACTGACATATTTCAAAAGACAGATGGTGCCCTAAATGTGATCATTAAGTTGTGCCAAGAAATCTGGAGGACAGAGAACTGGCCAACTGACTGGAAAAGATAGGTATTTGCTCCCATTCCAAAGAAAAGTGACCCAACAGAGTGCAGAAATTATCGAACAATATCTTTAATATCACATGCAAACAAGACTCTCTTTTTTTCACAAACAAGATTCTGCTGAAAATTATTCAAAAACGATTGGAGCAATGTCAACAGAGAACTGCCAGATGTGCAGGCTGGATTTAGAAGAGGTCGTGGTACTAGGGATATTATAGCTAATGTTAGATGGATCTTGGCAGAAAGCAGAGAATACCAGAAGAATGTCTATCTGTGCTTCAATTGACTATGCAAAGGCTTTTGACTGTGTGGATCACAACAAGCTATGGTTGACTGAGAAGAATGGGAATCTCAGAACATTTGATTGTGCTTATGTAAAACCTATACTTGGACCAAGAGGCAATCATCAGGACAGAGCAAGGAGACACTACATGGAACAAAATCAAGAAGGCGGTCCACCAGGGATATATTCTGTCTCCATACCTTTTCAATCTGTATGCAGAATAGATCATTCGAGACACTGGGCTGTACGAGGAGGAATGTGGCATCAGGATTGGTGGAAGATTCATCAACAACCTGCATTATGTAGATGACACAACCTTGCTTTCTGAAACTGAGGAGGACCTGAAGCACTTGCTGCAGAAGGTCAAGGACTGCAGTCTTCAATACGGATTGAAGCTCAACATCAAGAAAACAAAGATTCTCACCACTGGGCCAATTGGCAGTATCAGTATGGGTGGTGAAGAGATTGAGATAGTTCACAGTTTTAGTTTGTTTGACTTCACAGTCAACACTCTTGGTACCAGCAGTCAGGAAATCAAGAGACAAATTGTATTGGGAAAGTCAGTTGTCAGGGACCTCTCAAAAGTACTGAAGAGCAACGACATCAGGCTGGAGACTCAGGTGCACCTGATCCAGGCTATAGTCTTCGCAATTATGTGCTATGCATTGGTGAGTTGGACAGTGGCTAGGGATGATAGAAAGAGAATTGATGCCTTTGAGCTGTGGTGCTGGAGAAGAGTGTTGAATATACCATGGACTGCTAGGAGAACAAACAGGTTTGTCTTGGAGAGGGTGAAGCTGGATTGCTCCTTAGAGTCAAGGATTCTGAAGCTTCATCTGACATACTTTGGCATGCTGCAAGGAAGGACTGGTCCTTGGAGAGGGACATCATGTTTGGGAGAGTGGAGGGATGGCACAGGAGGGGAAGACCCTCAATGCAACGGATCGATTCTGTGATTGGGGTGATGGGAATGAGTGTGTGAGTGTGTCGGAGATGGTGACGTTAGCACAGAATAGAGCAGGGTTTAGGGCTCTTGTACATAGGGTCACTATGAGTCGCAGTGATTCAATGGCACATAACAACAAAAACAATGACATGTCAGACAAGGGACTAATATCTAGAATTTATAAAATACTCAAGCACCAAAACAAGATAAAGGTAAATAACCCAATTAAAAGATGGGCACAGGATATGAACAGACACTTCACCAAAGAAGACATTCAGATAGCCAACAAGCACATGAAGAAATATTCAAAATTACTAGCTCTAAGAGAGATGCAAATCAAAACAACTATGAGATATCATCTCACCCCAGTATAAATAGCAAAATTTAACAGAAAAGCAAACATCAAATATTGGCGAGGTTGTGGAGAAACTGGAACCCTTATTCACTGTTGGTGGAAGTGTAAAATGGTGCAACCACTGTGCAAGGCTGTATGGCGCTTTCTCAAAAAGTTGCAAATGCAAATACCATTTGACCCAGCAATTCCACTACTGGAATTGCAATAAGGAAACCACAACTGCCACCCAAGCAGATATATGCACACCCATGTGTATTGTGGCTTCATTCACAGTAGCAAAGATTTGGAAACAACCCAAGTGCCCATCAACAAACAAATGGATAGAGAAGCTCTGGTATATTCACACAATGGAATACTATTCTGTATTGAAAAACAAGGAACTCATGAAATATTATACAAAACGGGTGACCCTGAAGGACATTATGC